AAATCCCCCCTCTCTCTGCATCAGTGACACTTTGTGCGGGTTGAGCACACAGCTGTTGCTATAACCAGTGAAAGAGGAAGAAATGAAAGATGAGAATAACAGGAAAGAAGAACAGAAAAGGCACCAGAGCATACAACGCAGCGCAAAGAGTTTTGCAGATTTTACAAGTTTTTCAATGCACAAAGAGAGTAGGTAAAACTTTCATACAAAGCCATAACACATTTGGCTTAAAATGGTAAGAACACAAATGTGGCTTTCAAAGGAGAGCCTAAAAACTCTAAATGAAAATACACATTTTTAATAATTATAGCTGCACCTAGTGTTATTCAAAAACTCATTCTGTTGTTTAGACCGCTTCAGACTGTGTTGGCCAGGCAAATCTTTTGATTGACACCTGCCTGGTTCCTCTCACAAACCCATGTGACAATCAGAATTGTGCAGCCCGAAACAGTATGTTCATTTCCTCTGATTCAGATTAGGAAGACGGAAGAAGCCTTACAAATGTCACATTTTCATTAAATGAGTCACTGAATGGTGAGCTACAGTACGTCATGCTTTTCCAAGTTTGTTATTGTGGCATCTAGCACACACAAGCAACATTAGCTGAGATGTCCATTTATGTTTCAAAGCTTTGAATAAAATGCTAATTGATGGCTGTGTATACCGTGGGCTACCCTGCTAAACATATGACAACACCATTAACCTGCGACCAGGAGTAGATCATCCACAGCTGGAACTGACAGAAGCAGCAAAAGATAAACAACCACACGGTCAACACTCAACAACCGGGGCTGTGAGAAGTCCGCTGTTGTTGTTCATTAATGCTATAGAGTGCTAACGCTAAATGTAAATATCTATATAGCTGTCCATGGACTATTCTTGATTGGTTTGTGAAATTTACTGACACATTTTCAAAATATTTAAAAGTTTAACCAAACCAGATTGTGCACAATATCTGAAAGGCTTTATGAGTTTAAAGCTCCTGTTAGCGGCACAAAATGTAGATTTTAGCGCCCCCTGTGGACAAAGTGCTGGATGGGCTTGTACATGTGTAACTAGTGTTTTTCAACAAAAATATGTATTTTACTTCTTTAAAGCGAAAATGTATCACTAATTGAGAATGTCAACAAAGGCTGTGGCAGTGGGCATTGAATCACTTTGTCCGACTCCTACCCGACAGCAGCGGTTTCATTCATTAATAAACAAACAACATGGGACTATCCAATCTTATGGTTTGCTTTGCTTTTGTAAGTCACAAAATAAATATATTTATTAATTTCTGTCTGTTTCATAACAAGCTAAAAAAAAAACTCCTCACATGGGCTTTAAATGAAAATATTTTAATATGGAAGCTAATCTTTAAAAACTGTAGATGCAGTATTATGAACATAAGACCCTAAATTACATATTTAGAGGCTTTCTGTAGATTTGGGATTCAAATGCTTTTGAAACACGGAGGCCTGTGTGACTCTCTCCCTGTACAGATGTCCTGATGTTGCTTGTGTTCAGACCTCATCACCGCCCTCCCAAGACAACGAACATCTCTGTACAGCTCTGACACCCCCCCCCCATCACTTCCCGTCTGTCCGTCTGCCAGCGAATGTCCTTGTGTTGTGTTCAAACTGCAGGGCTCCATTTAGACCAACGGAATATATGTGTAGTGTTTTCCTTTCATTTGCTCTCTCTGCCTCTGTGAGACCTCTTTATTTGCTGTCTCATAACAAGAAATGTTCTTGTTTTCCATCATTACGAGGGCGTAGAGTAGTGGAAGTTGCAGAATGAGGAAAACAGTTTGGTAGTATTAGTGGTTCTCAAAGGAGCGATGAAACATCAAGTCTGTTGAGTCGTGATGCACTTTAAATTCCCATGAGGCCTTTGTAGTGAGTATTTGGGCAGCGTCTGTTTTAATCCCCATGTTTTGGTCTGTATGAGTAATTGCAGCATCTGAGGCACAGCCATAACAACCTCTTTTTAAAGTTTTAAAGAATAAAGGTTACCCTGGGTATTGTGGCAAGTTGAGTGTATTTTCTCAAACCCTAGCAGTCATATGTATGAGTAATCATGTGCAATATGTGCTGGATTTTTTTTCCTCTAGTACACAGTCATAACACAAGGGCCATTTACTATATGCATGACAATTCAGGAAATGTTTCACAATTTAAAATAACAAAAGCTTCTTTAAATTCTTGCAGGGTTACATCTAGGCTTAAACAATTCATTGAATTGTAATCGTGATTTGATTTCGACCTAAAACGTATAAATATTTGTGATCTCAATATTGATTAGTTGAGATTATTATTTTACCAAAATCATGCAGCCCTAGTTTCATCCATTCTACAATCTCTATGGTAACGGCTGGTTAGTTTAGGCTTAGCATTAAGTCTAAGGTTGAGTCTGAATTCAAACTCTATACTTACCTATTCATTGTCCCCACAAAGGAAATATGTGGACTATAATTATTGTGCAAAGGTTAGCAAACTTTAGTTTTAAATGTATGACTTACATTTCTGATTCAGCTAAATGACTATAAGTATACAACTCTTTTCTACCGCTGCTACTGTTTAAGAATGAAACCTTATCTTCCTTATAACAGGAAGTTTTAGCCAAAGTATCCAGTAAACAGAAAGTAACAGAAATCTTGCTGTGATCGAGGTACCTGGAAATCATCTCGTTCTCAAGAAGTTTAATACAACACACTTGGGGAAAAGGATGTAAATCATCAAATTTTCAACAAAAGAACTGGTACAAAACTAAAATAGTTCTATTTATTTCTAATGTTCACAATCAGCAGTTCTAAGGAACAGCACCTGGTTTTATGTGGATATTCTGTGTGACAGTTATTTCAGATATAGAAAACTGACTTACTGGATTTCAAATGTGTTTTCCCCTCATAATGCAGGCTGGTCCCATGTGGAAAGAAAATATCAAAACTGTTTGTTGCTGTGCCTGGAAAACTGTAAGTCTCACAGGGTCAACAGAAATAAAAAAAAATCAGCCACACACTACAAACTGTTACTGGTATATGAAAATAAAATTAGGTATTACAGTGGGCACAACAAACACCATGGTACGATATACCCAGAGAGGGGGAAGAAGTCTTTTTGAAAGGATCTTCGTCAATGATGTCAGTCATATTGTGGTGTTATAATGTGTACCTCATGTTGGAGATGTTGCAGGTTTGTGATAAACATCAGTGTTCATCTTTTGTTTTTTAATGTGTGAGCACCTTAAGTATACATGAAAATGTGTTATATCATTTCATAGCCACCCAAGCATATACAAAGATTGTGTTGAATTGTTTCTCCTATAACACAAGTTACACATACGTCAACATGAAAACTCACAGTGCCCGAAAAGATCTCTGTAGGGGACTGTTAATCCCAATCTGATGGGTCAACTATGTAAATCAGGAGGGTTCATTAGCCTCCAAAAAAATATACACTATTAACGGTCTTCCCAGCAAACCTGTGACACACCTGGACTTTACATCTGCCAGCTCTGGCCAACTGCCCACATCACTCATTTAATTTTGGCTCAGGCCATCCAGCCTTTAATTGACCTTTTACTGACAAATGTTTGGATGACCTCGACTCATTATCTACCAGGTCACATTGTTTTAGAGTTTGAGTCCAACGGGAGGGACAACTTATCAGAGAAAATGTCAAATAACTTTAATGTTTTGGTCTCCTCTGACAGAAACTGTGGTTGATACTGACTCGGGAAAAGACCAAGATCTATAATTTACAATTCAATTCTGCAAACTTCCTGTGTTTTCTCCACTGACTACTGATTACTGTAGGCTGATCAACTGGTGTTGATGCACTCTGCTACTGTTTCTTCGACCAGCTGTCTCTTTGTCCCCAGAGAACATGTGTGTTTTAAATATCTTCTCCATAGACTCACATTCCTGGCAACGCTCTGCCTGGGAAAATAACTCACAAGTCCTTTTGTGTTGAATCTGTATTCCTCCTCGAGTTCGTGTGTCAGTGTATGTGTGAGGTCAGCGGTTTAAGCCACGCTTGTGAAGTAAGCTTCTGAAAAGCAATATTTAACATCCTGGAGAAGCTGAAAGCTGCTGTGAGATAGAGATGATACCACTGTCATGCATGCTTCACAGGGCTAGAGCTAAAGCTATCATTAGCTTGTCTTTACATAAATTGAGGAGCAGAATTTAATGAAAACAAAATGTTGAGAAAAACTGCCTCCTGGCACCTCTCAGGATGACTCATCAACTTACATCTGTTACAAATATTGGCGCCACACAATAATATGGCAGAGTTTAAGTTGAGAAGATAAGTATCACTCCTCAATATGTTAACTGAATATCTACTGCCAACAGCAACTTTGCGTCGCTTAGCTTAGCATTAAGACTATCAACAATGATATACCAAATATAAGATGTATAAGTTGAATTGAGTAAAGAGATGCTGATAAGCAGATTTTTTTTGATGTATGACGAGAGCAAGGGTAGGTGTTCCCCACCGCTCCCTGTCTTTATGCTAAGCTAAGCTAAGCACCTGTTGGCTAAGGCTTTATATTAAGTGTGAAGATATGACTCTGGCATCGTCTCATCTTACACTGAGCTTAAAGGAAAATTAACACATTTCTAATAAAACTATGCTCTTTCATAGTTAAATAAAAAGTTTGTATCAGAAGGCGAGACAAAAGGAATATCTCAGAGGATAAACCCTAAGAGACAGAAATGGAGAAAGAGAAACATAACATAATCCTAATTTCAGAGCAGAGACTTCCCTCTCTGCTCTCTTACCGATGACATTTCCTTTTGACATTTTCTCTCCTCAGTGTAGGGCAGCCTCAGCGTTTACTGTATCAACAGTCTAAAACATCAGCTCAAAGTTGAATTTCACGTATTTAAACCTATACCTCAACCTTCATGGCAGACCTGAACGCTCTCATCTAATATCCACAACATGAAGAATGATTTTAACTGCCTTTATTTCCTTGGTACAGATTGAATTTATAAAGCTGTTTCATCCTACCTGGAATGACCTCAAAGAGGAATTTCCCACTGTCATCGCCACTGGTTGGATGCTCTGACACTTTATTTCCAGGTAAGAGAATGGCTCCCTGTGGAAAAAGGAACAGACTGATCAGTGACCCAATACAGTGACTGGTGAAAACTTGATGACCAACCAGCTTTCTGGTCAGTTTTGTTGGCTAGAGTTAAGAAAGGATTATGAAAGTTAAAAAGATCAAAATGCATTTCTGTTTTAACTTAAATATATATTCAGAAACCCCTTTTCATCCAACAAAAGATGAAAGGAAAACAGACTGTTCACAAATGCAACCTTTCACTGTTTTTGTTGGAATTGCACCTGGATTGAGAAACAACCATGATTTTTTAAAAATATTTGATCCTTTGTTCTTGCACATTCACCTTTTCTTGACCTTTTCAGCTCATCTTTTCTGCCACAGGACTATCACTGGAAAGCTGGGTTTAAAACAGTGTCATGAGTGTCAAAACAGTCTGCACTGTCATGTATATGTATCAGGCAACAGGGAGGGTAGTATGTATATAGTAGGTCTCCGGGGCCTTGGCGGGATGATGGAGCTGAGCTGTTATAAAATGTGGCAAAGTGGCAGCATTATAGCAGATCATCATCTCTGTGTCTCAGCTCTGTCCATGATGATACATCATCAGCGTGACACTTAACGCCAGAGATACTCGGCTTTAAATAGCAGGAGCTTCAGCATCAGCTTTTCTTAGAGTCAACCTCTCAACAACTTCACTGAAGAGTATTTTACTGCCTGTTAGAAACGCTGTGAGGTATCTGGTTGTTGTCTTCACTGAGCATCACGACTGACTGACACTCATGAGTTGAACCAGGGATACCATGACCAGGAATAACACCAGATACTTACCTAATATTGCAGGACTTAAAAGAGTCAGAGCTGCCTGTGACCCTTTTTGGGTCACCAGCAATCATGGTGTAAAGTAGCTACTTTTGCAAAAAAGTAACTTTAGTTGACAGCTGCTGCAGATGAATAGTAAGTAGTATACATCTTAATATGTTATCTTCAAAGGTAAAATATAAAACATTGTAATTGATTTAACTATCCAACAAGATGTGAAGTTAAATGAGCTTCACATCAATCAAATACAGCACTATAATAAGTTTCCCATCGTAATCATGAAGCAACCTCCGGTGCAAAAACCTGCAGTTCGAGTGTCCACTAGGGGCTGGCTGCAGAAGCACCAGAAGTCACATACACAACCATTCAGAAAAAAAATGTTGAAAGCAGGAATAAACATGTTTGCAGCCTGGCTCAATTTACTAAATTGGTCTGAATAGTAGAATAGTTCTGCTCCTCTTACTTAGCCTGTAGTCAACAAGCTATTTAAAGTTCAGAAATGTGTTAACTTGTCTGCTATCTGGTATTTATGAGCCAATGATAATTCAAGTTACTTAAAAAAACAATGTCAGATTGACCACTAATAATGACATTAGAAAGTCAAAATGTTCTGAATTAGATACACCACACACTCAAAAGCTAACAAGTAAATGAAGTTCCTTCACGTGTTAATCCTGTGAGAATCACAAAGTACCTTTCTACTTTGCTTATTCTACTAATTAGGACTATAAAAAAGGATTACAACCCGACAGCAGCAGGTTGGTGCTTTATGCACTTAGTGACTTCTCACTTGATTAACAACTGGCACATAGCGCCACACGGCAGCATCTGACAGTCATTACAGTGCCCTCTATCTGGGTTCATGTTAATGCAGACAAGATGTGCACGAGTGACAGCTTCAGTATTAAGGACCCACGCACATGAACAGGATCTGAGGAGAGTCAGTTTCCTTCCTGCTGAGAGGGAGAGCTCTTTAATGAGCCCCACTGAATAACTGTGACAACCAGGGAGTGTAAACCCTACCTGAGGCCCCAGATGAAGTGCTTTTTAAAGGGGGGGGGTCATAAAGATGGGACAGACATGCTACAAAGAGGAGGAATGGGGGAATGAAAGAGTTTGTTTGATGTGGTTGTAAGCAAGAGAATCTGCTCAGCTTCAGTGTCATGGGATTCAAAGGTTCTTTGAGAACTTCTTGAAGTGATTACAGATCTTTTTTGTCATGCATATTGTACTGATTTAAGGGAACAGGAGACAACTTCAATGAATCATGGGTAACTAAAAAATGTGTGCCTTTTGGACGGTTTGTATTGCAGTCCCTATCAGAATTACAAATTTGCCAAAGGATTCTTGCAAATATCAAACGATACTGATACCTGTTTCGATACTATGGCAACATATATACAAGTCCTAGGCACCCAATATCGGGAAAATTAATTTCTTCCATTTACGAAAGATTGCAAGCAAACGTTTGAAAAGTTTAAAAGTGAATCAGTGTTTAAGTATTTGTGCAGTTAAGACAGTGCTCTAAAAAAATATGATTTAAGATCTGTGGTCTTTTAAAAGCTTTGGTCATTTGATACACTTTCCATAATTTAAACAACAGATTGTATCGTTCTGAAATTTCTACAACCGTAGTCTCTATACTATGAAACCTCAACACATCTGATATTCCTCTGCTGTTCTTAACTTCAGCCACACTTTCCATACTGACATCCTCCCTGGTGGGCTGTTGTTTGCTGCAGACAAACCCGACCACAGACAGAGGACTATTTACTCAGCAAATAGTACGGTAGCCTGGCCCAGCCCACTGAGCAGCAAAAAAGTCCCAGCCTATTTTGGGATGTTTTCGGCATTTTTATATTGTCTTTAACAAGGATGATGTCATTTTTTTTGGAAACGGAATAATGACATAAACCTAATTATCTTAAAAGGCTGAGCCAAAAAAGCCAAACTCACACAATATGGGACAGTAAATACTGAGAGAGGAGCAACAGCGGGCCACTAAGGCTTAGAAACAGCAGTCGGTTTCTGAAGCTGTATGCTCCAAATGAAATGAAACAGTGTTTTCTCAGACTGCAAGCAAATACCAGATTACTCATTATGAGTCCAGGTCGGTTTATTTAATGGCTTTAAGTAATTTAGTCTGACCTGCTTGCACACACTTCAGCAACTTCCAAATGGAGCCTGTTTATTTGGTCATAAAACAAACTTTTCCTTTTGTGTTCTAAGCTAGCTGAATGTGCATGGACAGTTAAATACAGGAGGGGGCAAAGGATGTGTCTTTAATAAGTTCTCTGGTCAATGTGCCCTCTGTGATAAAGAAGGTTGGGTTTAAAGTCTCATGGGAATTGGCCATCTTGCATGTTTCCAGTTCAGCACTGATATGTAGGAACTTATTGGTGACCGAGCTTAACATAAAAAAAATCTTAGAGCATTCGTCTGTAGAGTCCTGGAGGTAAAAATCGAACATGAATCGTTGATGGCCCGCTTACTGAGGCTTTGCTTCTAATTCTGTCCACTTTGCTCAACAGTTTCAATCTCACAAGAATCTTAAGTTCAATTTTTTGCCATTTCCAGAGAATAAAATAAGCCGTAGGAGGCTCGCGCTAGTTAGCTAGGTGTCATACAAGTAGTGAACAACGCCCAAGCAATTTAAAGTTCTCAGCGTCAGATGTTAACTCTTAAAGGAATAAGTGTGAAGGATGGAAAACTTTCCCAGTGTCTGCTCATCTGCACCAATGGACGTCAAAATATTTGTTTGTACATGAGGCAGTCTCTTGTACAAGTAACAAACACAAGAAGATGCTATTTTGAAATGATACGTTCATGTTCCCGTTTTTCTGTTACATTAAGTAAAATAAATAGTTGAGATCAAATCAAACAGTATCAAATTGAATTGAACTAAATCTATATTTTAATGAATCATCAATGATTCGGTTATTAGCCTATAAATTGACTTTGGAACCGTCTGACATTTTAAGCAAGTTTTTAAAACTTTTACCCCGAAACTAAAACTTTTTAGGACAATGAGTTCGGACAAAGACCATTTCAGGCTAAACTGCAGAGTTGGATTACAATTCTCTGATGGCCCATCACTGCCAGCGACCTCTTTTACAGACAGTCTTGCTTTGGGAACTAGTGATCTGGTCTGAAGAATGAGTTTAGAAAAAAAAAGACATGTGGCAAGATAATGAAATGCAGGGTAATATGTTGTGGTGCTGAGATTGATTCCTGATTACAAATGTTGACACTGATGTCAATTAAGCAGAAGATATTGTGTAACAGGTCATTTAAGAGCTCATTAACCATTGGCTGGTTGGTCAGCTGTCCTTTTATCCGATAATGACTGTTTCAGCTTCAGTGACCTCTCAGACGTTCAAACTCAGTGGGAGACCTGGACACCATACCTGCATGTCTGAACCATAAGTGTAAGGCAGCGTCTGTCTTTGTTCTTATTTTAAATCACTATATAATCCTCAATTTTTACCTGCATGTTTGCTTTAAGAGCTGTCTATTAAAGTGGCAAAGAGTTAGTAAAGGTAAGTCAGCTCCACTGAGTCCATCAATCCAATAAATGTCATCATAATTTCACAGTTATAAAACAGGCAGTTCACGTCTTCTGCTCTGACTGGCTGAGCCTTGTTTAAAACCCACAGTAAAATCCACAGCTGTGACTGCCAAACAGTCACTAAAATATTAATATGCCAATCAAACGCAACAGGGCAGAAATAATGGAAGACTTCTGCATTCTTTTTCATTTACTTGGTGGTTTAACAGTGTGTGAATGATGTGAGAAGTTAGACGTGATAAACACGGAGACAATAAAAAAGACTCAAATAAACAAAGATAATTAAAAATCTGAAGATTTGCCTGATCGCATCTGTACTTACTGGTCTTTGAATCTTAACAGTTAAGGAAATTGCACGTCTCTGGCGCTAAGTTCAAACACAACAGCAGACCTTCTAGCAAATAAATGTGTTATTTGCAACAAAAATCTGGGACAGAGAGCTACAGAAGCAGACAACAACAGAGGCAAGAATGCTTCTTTGACAAACACAGAAAATCCATCAAAAAGAACAAGATCCCTAAGATAAAAAAAACACACACAAGGCCTACAGTGATTTATGTGTGAGCAGCTGGATAACACAGTGTCCTGTCACTTTCTTACAGGAATACTTGTCACTGCTGCTGCTGTCTGCCTGACAGCCTTATCT